AAAAAAAAAAAAAAAAAATTAAAAAAAAAAAGAAAACAACACAGGATAAGGGTAAGTTAAGTGAATGGGGGTATAGATGAAACCAAGATTAGTCATGAGTAGGTAACTGTTGGAGCTGGGTGTCTAGTACAAGGGAGTTCATTACAGTGTTCCATCCACTCTTAAATATGTTTACATTTTTTCCACATGGAAAATTAAAAATGTTTATGCATATAAATTTGCACAGGAAAAGTTCTGGAAGGATAGCCACCAAATGACAATTACCTTTAGATAGTAGAATATATGTGGACTTTTACTTAATTTTTTCTTTATTCATCCATATTCTGTATTTTTCTCTATAACAAACACGTTTTACTTACATACTTAAATAGAAACTGATAAATAAAAGTTAAATGCTTTTCTCCCCAGTAATCTTACACTTTAAATAGCAAACGTGATACCTTGGACTCTTCTTACCTTATCTGCTTAAGACAGCTGCTAGAATAATGTGAGCTAAAAACTAATATGTTCAGATTAAAGGAGAGGGGAAAAAACTCTTAAATGTTCTCCACGTATCTTCCTAATTTAGACCAGAAGATTTTATAGCAGGTCAAAGAAGCTAACTATATCCCACAAACGAACATTACCACAGATATTTTGAAATTCCGAAGTTCACGGTATGTTAAGAGGAATGTAAGGTATTCCTACCCGCACTCTGTAACTACTCTCTTGTGCTGTAATTCCTGAACACCTCCCTACTTTAGCACTCGGTTTCAGCAGTGTTATTAAGCATGCTCTTAAAAAAAAGGACAGACAACTGTATCTTACCGGTGGCAAAGAATGCCGCCCACATTCAATTGTGACGAGTTTATGGCACTTCTTATGAACCAGGAGTTTGCAGTTGATGCACTTATATCCTTGGCGTCCAAGTCCCCATATTCGGTCTGTGCAGATGGCACAGTGAGCACGCTGAAAAGAGTAATTCAACATTTTATTAACCAAAAAGAAGCTCATAATCATTTCCCAAACAATTTGCTGACTCAATTCCCCTCATCATGGTGTCAACTGTCAGCCCATGACAAAAAACAACAAAAGCTAAAAAGCTTCCTCATACCTAATTTTTCAAAAGCTATGAAGATCAGTGAAAAAGGAGAGCTTGTTTTTAAGAGACAGTGAAATTTGCAACCACATTTCTTTCTGTAGTAAGTCTAAGAATTTTCAGTCTTTACATAATTAAGTTCGGAATAATGAAAACAGAAAAAGTGAATTAAACTAGAAATACATATGGCAGAAAAGGCCATTGAAGGACTTCTAAGCAAACATACACCTTCCAGGCTGTTCAGAGGTCAAACCAAAGCTCTATTTTCTTAAAGAGCAATACCTAAAGTGGCTTTTCATTTGAAAGCCACCTTTTTCTTCTTCCTTTTTTTTTGAGACAGAGTTTCACTGTTGTTGCCCAGGCTGAAGTTCAATGGTGCAATCTCGTCTCACTGCAACCTCCACCTCCCAGGTTCAAGCGATTCTCCTGCCTCAGCCTCCGGAGTAGCTGAGATTACAGGTGCTCGCCACCACGCCCAGCTAATTTTTTTTTTGTAACTTTAGCAGACACGGGGTTTCACCATCTTGGCCAAGCTAGTCTTGAACTCCTGACCTCATTTGTGATCCACCGTGCTCGGCCCCCCATACCCCTTCCCTCCCCCTTTCCTTTTTTTTTTAAGAGACAGGGTCTTGCTCTGTCAGGCTGGAGGGCAGTGCAGTCACTTTTACTCACTGCAGCCTCAGCCTCTTGGGCTCAAGCTTCCTGAGTAGCTGGGACTACAGGCATGCACCACCATACCCCACCAATGCTTTTATTTTTTGTAGAGATGGGATCTCACTATGTTGCCCTGGCTGGTCTCGAACTCCTCGGCTTAAGTGATCCCTCTCCTCTGCCTCCCAAACTGCTGGGATTACAGGCATGTGCCATTGCACCCAGCCTCAAAGCCTTCTTAAATGTCAGTGCTACTGCAAGTACAATAGTTTGGGTGGGGAGGAATTTTGGGTGGTAGTTTCTATTTATATTAATTAATTTAGAACATGGCATTAGTTTTAGAATGGCAATGGCACCCAAAAATTTGCCATTATCAGAGTATTTTAAAAATTGGCTTCTGGCCAGGCAAGGTGGCTCATGCGTGTAATCCCAGCATTCTGGGATGGTGAGGTGAACGGATCACCTGAGGTCAGCCTGGCCAATGTTGTAAAACCCTATCTCTACTAAAAATGCAAAAAATAGCCAGGCCTAGTGGCTGATGCCTGTAGTCCCAGCTAATCAGGAGGCTGAGGCACAAGAATCGCTTGAACCCAGGAGGTGCAGGTTGCAGTGGGCTGAGATTGTGCCACTGCACTCCAGCCTGGGCAAGAGCAGGACTCCATCTTAAAAAATAAACAAATACATAATAAATTAGCTGACTTCTGAAGACAGGCTGCTGCTTTCAAACTTTGATTCTATCACTTACTTGTATCATCTTGTGCAAGTTACTTAACTGCCCTATTCTTCAGTTTTGCCACCAATAAAAAGGAAATATATAGTACCTATCTTACAAGGTCATTGTAAGGATATAATGAATCAATGTATATGAGGCATTTGAAAAAGTGCCTGGTACATAGTACAACCCAGATAAGTGTTTACTATTATTATTTTCTAAACAGTGAAAATCTGATTACAACATTAACAGGCAAAACAGATATTAAATAAGGAAAATAAACCTTGCTTGTTTTCTGGCTACCTTAAATTGTATTTTAAAATCCAATTTTCTGACAGCTAGGGTATATTATGTGGAATAATTAATCAGTCAATCTGGAGCTTTTTGAGACCGGGTCTTGCTTCATTACCTGCAGGAGTGCAGTGGCACTATCTCAGCTCACTGCAACCTCTGCCTCTTGGATTCAAGTGATTCACCTGCCTGAGCCTCCCGAGTAGCTGGGACTACAGGTGCACGCCACCACGCCTGGCTAATTTTTATATTTTTAATAGAGATGGGGTTTTGCCATGTTGGCCCGGCTGGCCTCAAACTCCTGGCCTCAAGTAATCCAGTCACCTTGGCCTCCCAAAATGCTGGGATTATAGGCCTGAGCCACCACACCTGGCCTGGAGCATTTTTAAGAGTGAAAGGAGATGCTATTAAAAAATATAGGCATACTGCCTCAGGCAAACTGGAAATGTAAGGTTATGCTACTTATTTATTTAAAACTGTGTAACAAGACTTAATAACGAACTACCTTTCTTTCACAGTAGAAAGGGAAAAAATAGCCGTCTTACATTATCAACATTCAACAAACTATGTTTACCCTGTTGAAACGCTTGGCTTGGAAAGTGTGGCCATTGGCACAATAAAGCTTTCTCCAGCGGCGTGCACCTCTACGGTAGATGGATTCTGAAGAGAGATTAGTAGTTAAAAAAAGAAAAAAGAGCAGGTGTGAGTAAAAGTCATTTTATAATTAAGCCTGTAATTTTTTTCATGATACTCATTGTAAGAAAAAAAAATACTGATAAAAACCTGAACGTCAAAAATTAAAATGGATTCATCAAGGGACCAGATGAAAATAAAGACCACAGAGTATTAATATTTGACTACTACTACTGGTTGGCTGTTTTTTTTTGAGACGGAATCTTGCTCTGTCACCCAGGCTGGAGTGCAGTGGCTCAGTCTCAGCTCAATGCAAACGCTACCTCCCAGTTCAAGCAATTCTCCTGCCTCAGTCTCCTGAGTAGCTGGGATTACGAGCATCTGCCATCATGCCTGGCTAATTTTTGTATTTTTAGTAAAAATGGGGTTTTGCCATGTTGGCCAGGCTGGTCTTGAACTCCTGACCTCAGGTGATCTGTCCGCCTTGGCCTCCCAAAGTGCTGGGATTACAGGGGTGAGCCAACATACCCAGCCTATTACTGCTTTTCTTTCAAAAATTCTCCTCCAACTTTGTATTTTGAACATCTTTTAATACCACAGAAAAGGTAAAATAAGAGACACCTGTATCTTTTACTGAGATTTACCAATTATTCATGTTTTGTCATATTTACTTTCTTCGCTACAAAAACATACATTGTTTTTTTCTGCATTACTTGGAAGTAAAATGCAGACATCATGACACTTAAATGCCTAAGTATCCATTGCCTGAAATTAAGGACGTTCCTGCACAACTCCACATAACCACAATACCATTGCCATGTCTTAGAAAATTAGTATTAATTCAATATCAACCAATATACAATTCATATACAAATTCCCTAACTGCTCTCAAAGTGACTTTCTTTCTTCCTTTTTTTTTTTTTTGAGACAGAGTCTTACTCCATCACCCAGACTGGAATGCAGTGGTGCAATCTCAGCCCATTGCAACCTCCACCTCCTGGGTTTAAGTGATTCTTCTGTCTCAGCCACCCGAGTAGCTGGGATTACAGGCACATGCCACCACACCAGGCTAATTTTTATATTTTCAGTAAAGAAGGGATTTCATCATATTGGCCAGGCTGGTCTCGAACTACTGTCCTCAAGTGATCTGTCTGCCGCAGCCTCCCAAAGTGCTGGGATTATAGTGACTTTCAAAGCTCACTTTTTCTAACCAGGATGCAATTAAGACTCAGGGATTGCATTTGATCATGCTTTTTTGGTCTCCTTATTGTATTCTAAAACATTCACTCTGCCTTATTTGTTGTTATTTCTTTTTGATGATGTTGACTTTTTTTTTTTCTTTTAAAGAGTCTGGTTAGTTGTTTCATATTATATCCCACATTCTGGATTATCTGTTTACTTATGATTCGAGGCAGTATTAAATACTTTTGGCAAAAACAATACATAGGTAGTGTTGTGTATTTTTTTTTTTTTTTTTTTTGAGACGGAGTTTCACTCTTGTTACCCAGGCTGGAGTGCAATGGCGCGATCTCGGCTCACCGCAACCTCCGCCTCCTGGGTTCAGGCAATTCTCCTGCCTCAGCCTCCTGAGTAGCTGGGATTACAGGCACGTGCCACCATACCCAGCTAATTTTTTGTATTTTTGGTAGAGACGGGGTTTCACCATGTTGACCAGGATGGTCTCGATCTCTTGACCTTGTGATCCACCCGCCTCGGCCTCCCAAAGTGCTGGGATTATAGGCGTGAGCCACCGCGCCCGGCGTAATGTTTCTTAAGTATACTTAGAGAAAGAGGTTCCAAAAGATCAAATCTAGTCCACCTTCATATTTTTAAGTTCATCATTATTATATATATTGCCTATTGGTCATTAATAATAACATTCCACAGTAATGGTAATAACAGTAATAGTTAATACCATGGAAAGATTACATTAGGTTCCCAAAGTCACATTTTAAAGCAAATGTAGCACTGGGTTTACTATTTAAAATTAAGATACTAAAGAGCAGTTGCAATGCTCTCAATTAGGAATCTTAGGATAGCTTAACACAGAATTGAAAGTTTAGAGCTATTTCAATTAATTCAAAGCAAAACATGGGCATGTACAGAAATCACAAATGAAAATGAGTTGCCTAATATCCAAACTTAGTAAATTACGAAAAATATCAAAAGCAATAACATACTCAAACATAAGTTTGTATGCTTAAATTACATTAGAACAGAGAGTAGTCTGACTCTTTTAGTTCATCTCATTAATAATAACCATTGGCCAGGTACGGTGGCTCATGCCTGTAATCCCAGCACTTTGGGAGGCCAACGCGGGCAAATCATGAGTTCAGGAGATTGATATCATCCCGGCTAACATGGTGAAACTCCGTCTCTACTAAAAATACAAAATGCAAAAAATTAGCCAGGCATGGTGGCACGCGCCTGTAGTCCCTGCTACTTGAGAGGCTGAGGCAGGAGAATCGCTTGAAGCCGGGAGGCCGAAGTGGCAGTAAGCCAACATTGCGCCACTGCACTACAGCCTGGGTGACAAAGCAAGACTCGGTCTCAAAACAAAACAAAATAATAAGCATTGGCTTAGATATTCCAGAGAAATTCCCTTAACAATTCCTGACCTGGAGAAGCTTTTAAATGGTAGTTCTCAAACTTTAGTGTGCATCAGAATCACCTGAAGAGCTTGTTAAATCTGGTAGCTCAGCCCCAGTCCAAGAGTTTATGAATCAGGTTTTTTTCTGAGATGGAGTCTCACTCTATTGCCCAGAATGGAGTGTCATGGAGCGATCTCGGCTCCCTGCAACCTCTGCCTCCTGGGTTCAAGCAATTCTCCTGCCTCAGCCTCCTTGGTAGCTGGGATTATAGGCTGAGGATCACTTGAACCCCAGAGGCGGAGGCTGCAATGAGCCGAGATATTGTGCCACTGCACTGCACTCCAGCCTGGGTGAGAGAGCAAGACTCTGCCTCAAAAAAAAAAGAAAAGAAAAGAAAAAGAAAAGGTGACTTAATAATTGTTTAAAAAAAAAAAACACTGCAGAAAAAGAAGTCAATTCCTAATGACATGTGCTGAGTGTCATGTCACTCTGAAGTGATAAAACAAATGCATTTGTTATGTGTAACTGTGCATGCATATATGAAACACAGAGACAGAGAAAAAACAAACAGAAAAAATGTTAAAAATTGGTAGATCTGGGCAAAGGATATACAGGTATCCTTCTTTTTTACTTTTCTCTCTTTTTTTTTCTTTTTAATTAACAGAACACTTCAGTTTATAGGCAGGTATCCCTGTTTTCAATGTTGTTTCAACTTCTGCATAGGTTCGAACATTTCCAAAATTAAATTTTAAAACTTAAAATTTGACTTAATTTTCCTTAAATATGTGCAACAGACAACCATGTAAGTTGTAACTAAGAACTATCTGAATTTGATCTGGCAAAAGTAGTATTTGGGCAGTAACTAATATATTCTAAATTAGACTAAAAAATGGAAAAGAAATCAAACGAATTAGAAGTTCTATTTCCTTTTTTTTCCTCTTCACTTGAGATAGGGCCTGTCTCTGTCACCCACACTAGAGGGCAGTAGTGTGACCCTAGCTCACTGCAGTCTCAAACTCCTGGGCTCAAGGGATCCTCCCACCTCAGCCTCCCGGGCAGCTGCGATTATAGGCACACACCTTGCTAATTATTTTTTGTCTTTTCTGTAGAGACAAGGTCTCACTTTGTGGCCCAGGCTGGTCTTGAACTCCTGGGCTTAAGTGATCCTCCCACCTCAGCCTCCCACAGTGCTGGGATTATAGGCATTAGCCACTGTCCACTGCACCTGGCTAAAAATTCTATTTCTGATTTCTTTTCACTTGAATGACAGCATAGTAACTCTTGTAAATGGTATGAAGTATGTAAACACTCACTATCTTCTCCTGGACAAGGCATCCCAGGGCGTTCTGGTACACAAGGGAACACTGAAAGAAAATAAATTAGCATGAGTTAATAGCATATTTAAAACATACACATTTAAAATTTATCATTTAAAATTCAAATGTAAAAGAAACTGCCAGGATTTCAACTTGACCCTCTCTTCACATGAGACAAGATACATAGCATGTGGTCAGTATTATTTGCAAAAGGAATTAATTTTACCAAGGCCATATAAAGGAAAGCTTTATTTGCCTTTGCTTTGTTGGTGTTAAAAAAAAAAAAAAAAAAAGAAGAAGAAGAAAAGGTCTTAAGAAAACAAATATGTCTATAAACAATGCATCAGGCCAGGCACAGTGGCTCACGCCTCTAATCCCAGCACTCTGGGAGGCCTAGGTGGGTAGATCACTTGAGGTCAGGAGATCCCAGCCTGCCAACGTGGTAAAATTCTGTCTCTACTAAAAAATACAAAAAAAAAAAAATTAGCTGGATATGGTGGCACGCCTATAATCCCAGCTACTTGGGAGGCCGAGGCCCGAGAATCGCTTGAACCCATGAGGCGAAGGTTGCAGTGAGCCAAGATCATGCCACTGCATTCCAGGCCCGGTGACAGAGTGAGACACCATCTCAAAAACAAAAACAAAACAAAACAAATGCATTAGAAGCTCAAATGACATTTCAGTCCCTGTTACATCATTAATTATTTTCTTATCCTTAAAGAAATTATTAACTAGTATTTGCTTAAATCCTCAGTATAGTGGGACAAGTTTGTCACAATGAAGAATGCAAATTAAATTACAAAAATGTATACAAATATGGTACATAAAATATTAGTTTTCAAAAGATGTATATTAAACTTAGGAATAAATTAACACCAGAAACAATACCAAAATCCAAAAATGTAAATTTACATGAGAAACTACAAATTTAAATACTAATTCAAACCATTTTTATAACAAGGTAGAATATAAAGCAGCAATGTATTTATGAAAACATAGACAGCTATTCATAGTCTGTGATGCACTAAAGGACACAGATAAAGAGCACAGAATATAGGAAGAACAGTTCCTAATGCATATTTCTAGGAGCTGAAACATAAGCAAATGTCTGAAAACATCTGTGATGTAGTATTAAAAGGCAGTAAGACTTAAAATTGACTGTTTAATACCATTCATCAATCACTTCTTTATGCATTCATTGTAATTTTATTCTGGAAAGAGATGACAAAAAAATAGACCCTTAAACCTCTATTAGAATCTCAGCAAAGTAGATTATGGATCCCTTGTGAGTCACTACGTCAAATTCTAGAGAGAGAAAAAAATCAGCCAGGTGTGGTGGCTCATGCCTGTAATCCCAGCACTTTAGGAGGCCAAGACAGGTGGATCACCTGAGGTCCGGAGTTCGAGACCAGCCCGGGCAACATAGTGAGACCTTGTCTCTACAAATAATAATAATAATAATAAATTAGCTGGGCATGGTGGCAGTGCCTATAATCCCAGGTACTCAGGAGACTGAGGCATGAGGATCGTTTGAACCCAGGAGGTGGAGACTGCAATGAGCAGAGGTCGTGCCACTGCCTTCCAGCCTGGGAAACAGAGCGAGAGAAACTGAGTGAAACTGTGCCTCAAAAAAAAAGATCAAGTCAAACTACTGTTGTTGTCGTTGTTGTTGTTGTTGTTGTTTTTATAACACATACATTGTAAAGTAAAATACAAAGGAATAATAATAAGGTACTAAAATGATTCATTATACTTGAGGAAAGATTTACATTTTTGTTTAACTTTTTTAAGTTTCCCAAGTCTGGTCTCACAACTCTCAAAAATGTTAGATGAAATACTGCCAATATATTGCGATTAAATGCAGTATATTAAGAGGTTCTTGGCTGGGTATTGTGGTTCACACCTCTAATTCCAGCACTTTCGGAGGCCCAGGTGGTAGGAGACTCCTCAACCTCAGGAGTTTGAAACCAGCCTGGGCATCATAGTGATATCCAATGTCTACAGAAAAAAAAAAGATTAGCCAGTCATAGTGGTATGGCAGTGCCTGCGGTCCCAGTTACTCAGGAGGCTGAGGTAGAAGGATCACTTGAACCCGGGAAGTCAAGGCTGAAGTGAGCTATGACTGCACCATTGAACTCCAGCCTGGGAAACAGAGCAAGAGAAACTGCCTCAAAAAAAAAGTTTTACATGACATAAAAAAATTGTGAAGGTAAAAAAAAAATTTGAAGATAGTGGAATGAATGAAACAAAAATTTGGAATCAGAATTCATAGACTCACAATCCAGGTCTACAATGTGCCAGTTACATGATAACTGAGTTTAGGTTTCTTCTTCTGTGCCACTTCCTACATCTCAAAGTGGCTGAGGTTTAAACATATCAGTGTCTGTAAAGCATCATGTAAATGGGCCGGGTGCGGTGACTCATGCCTGTAATCCCAGCATTTTGGGAGGCCAACACAGGCAGATCTCTTGAGACCAGGAGTTTGAGACCACCCTGGCCAACATGGTGAAACCCTGTCTCTCCTACAAATACAAAAATTAGCCAGCCATGGTGGTACACGCCTGTAATCCCAGCTACTTGGGAGGCTGAGGCACTTGAACCTGGGAGGCAGAGGTTACAGTGGGCTGAGATCACGTCACTGCATTCCAGCCTGAGTGACAGAGTGAGACTCTGTCTCAAAAATAAATAAAGGAATCATGTAAATCATTTCACTATTAACCTTTAAGCAAAAGCAAAGATATTAAAGATACCTTACCTTTGGAGGTCATTATTTCCAAACGTTACAAAACTGCAAGGAGATGACTTAGATTCCCCAGGCTCTCAACTTTTAAGTTCTATCATAAACTTGCTGTGATACACTGAGAAATCACATTTTAACATCCAACAAGACTGACAGAGATCACAAAATTCCCCAGGCTATAAGAAGCAGATTAATTGGGCCGGGCGCGGTGGCTCAAGCCTGTAATCCCAGCACTTTGGGAGGCCGAGGCGGGCGGATCACGAGGTCAAGAGATCGAGGCCATCCTGGTCAACACGGTGAAACCCCGTCTCTACTAAAACTACAAAAAGAAATTAGCTGGGCATGGTGGCGCGTGCCTGTAATCCCAGCTACTCAGGAGGCTGAGTCAGGAGAATTGCCTGAACCCAGGAGACGGAGGTTGCGGTGAGCCGAGATTGCGCCATTGCACTCCAGCCTGGGTAACAAGAG